GTCAAAGGGCCCTAGTCCGTGTAGACATACAGACTTTACATGCTTCAGCACTTTTCAGGTTGGCTAACTTGACTCGATTCTCCGAACTGTGCACAATAGGGCTTAGTCTACTGGCTACTGTGACTTAGTCAAACTATATCCTTTCCTTCACTCTTTACTTGGTTGAAACGCTTCCTGCTTCGACACTTCCACTTGGCTGTCGGTTCTTTCTTTTCTTTTACTGTTTTTTAACAGCATTGCATGAGAGTCAACTTACAGGCTCCTTTATTTTTAATAAGTCATGTACGCTGTTCGGCTTGGGAGGGGCATTTAGCTTGTTTCCTAGTTCCTACTGCTAGTTCCTGCCAAACTGCATGTTTAACCTTGGTGAAACTTGTGGACTAAGCTATGTCCCTGCCATAGCTTTACGAAAGTTTCCAAGATCTTCACAGGAAGCATTGACAATATTCGATGGGAACTAGCAAGATGCAACCATTGAACTTCGCCCAGCATGATTTTTTCACCCTTACCTCACTGATACCTCGGGTTGACGTAATTAAACACTTCTTCTGACGTCACTGATGAGGCGAAGCATTTGCATTTTAGTACGTTTTGAATTGTCAGTTTGGTGTAAGTTTTCTTGAGGCAGGCGGCACTGTGAAATTCTGTCGGCATCCCCAGCAATGCTGTACAGTTCTGTAAATTGATACGAATTGCACCACTCCACCCCTCCTCCCCCCTCAGGACCACTTTTCCCTATATTTTATATTTTTTTGCCTTCTTCGCAACGGTCGCGGGGGCGTGACAGGGAGACGTTGGTAATTGGGGGCCTAATCTACACCTAAATGTTGGGAGGTGGGGTGCGATAACGGTTATAATTGGACGAGCTTGGGCTGGCGCCTCATCAAACCCAGCCAAAAAAATTCAAAAAACTCCGGAAAAGTTGGAAGAGCTTCGAGAGATGGTAGGTAGGATGGGGGTGGGGGAACGGGGGCCGTACATCAGTAAGAAATTTCGAGAGGGGAGGGGTCACATTTTGCAGGAATATTCCGCAATGGCAGGAAGTTGCTCCAAAGGTTGATCACTGCCGAATCTACGTTCTGATTGGGATGGCAGTGAAGGTAAGGCTGAGACTTAGAAATTATGCGACCAAGTCATTGATTAGGGCAGACATGCATACAAATGCCTCTTTAATTCCGAAGAAATGGTGACTGAGAACATGACATGGCGAAAGGGATGATTAATATCGACCGTTGTCACTTCAGAAAATATTCCGTCCTCGCTCAAGCTTCAATCTCACCCCTCACTCATCTTGCCTCTCAGTTAAGAGCCCCACCTTTCGGGGTCAGCTAAGAAGAATTGCCTGTCCAACTGTCAACTGTTGACCAGTTGGTCTTGTGTACAAAATGGGTCACGGCAGCTGTTCGGTCGAGGGACTGATTTATAAATTTTCACTGAAGATTTATAGCATAACTGGGTTTTCCCTGACAGCACACTGATGATTCCGTCAGGCCAACTGATGGTGATGTTGACGACGAAACTCTTACCAGTAAGAAGCCAGCTCAGAAAACTCGATTTGTCACACCTTTGATTGACCGCCTTATGGTCGGTGTTGTTTGGTGTGCTATCTGGTGTTCCCCAAGCAAATGCGGGGGAGAGATCAGCTGTTCCATCAGAGCTCCTCCTTTCCGTCGCACTAACTCCCACTTGCTCCTCTTTGGCTTTCTGTCTCGAATGTTCACTGCTTTTTTCCTCGTTTTGTACCTTGGAGCGTTACATCTTCCTATCAGCGAATATTATCGATTTCTAGCAGACTAAGTAGTACACTCACTGACAATCCCACAGTTTTCAAGAGTTCGCTGCTTCGTGAGCTTCATCCTTACCCTTTCTCTTATGGTTAGTGATAATTATGAATTCCAGATCCGAGTTGAGAATGGCAGATGTCGCAGCTGCATTTGCTCAAGCCGAACTCACCCCAAGCGTCATAGAAAATGCCCCAAAACAGAAGTTACACGTGAGTATTTTCCTTAAATGTCCGAATGATGGCTCAATAGTCCAAAATGGTATTTCATCTATTTAGCTAACCTGGGACGGCATCCAGGTCGAACCAGGGATGACCATGTCGACGCGGAATCTGAAAGAACGCTCCTCGTTTCCATCTCCCCGGAGCGGACCCAGAGAGCACGTTCTCCTTATTGATGATCGGTCAGTTCAATTCAGTTAGATGATCAAAGCACAAGGAGAAGTGGAGACCTCAAAGGATTATAAGTCAGTGCCATGTGTCGAGAAACAATTGAGCGAAAGGGAATGGGATAGCTTTGGTGACGTCAAACGAGGGTTGGGGGCGGTTGTCAACGGAACACTGATCACGTAGAGATTTTGTGTCGCCGGTCGCTCACGGTGCTAAGACGCAATAAGGAAACATGGCAGTGTAAGCAATCAAAGGAAAAATTATTACTTTTGCTTAGCTAACTACCTATTGATCGTTAAATCGGGCGCATCATCTTCGCCTTTTTCTTACTGCTGTGCCAAAGAAAAACGTTTAAATCCAGAAACCAGTCGATGCCGCTGGAGGGGGATTTATTACGCACCCTTCCACCTCAGAAGTGTCACCGCACTGGACAAGACTCTCCCATACTCCGGAATCTATTCTTATATAGACATACGCCGCCTCCCCGAAGTAGCCGAATTTCTCCTACCAGTTTTTTTTTTTTTTTTTTTTTTTTTTGTTATTTTTTTTTTTTTTTTTTTTTTCCACTTCCGCGGTCGCCTAGCAGGGGACAGCATCGTGATGTGTGAAATAGGGTTGTAGGTACACGCCGCCCCCCTTCGAGAGGGGGTGCCAGTACGATCCTCCCCCCCCCAAACCTGAGCGAGGGTCTCGGTACGACTCCCGCCTACCCCCAACAAATACCTACCTAGCCTACAAATTTCTCACATTTTCCAGTTGACCCAAAATTTTTTGCTGTCGAGCGGAGGCGGGTTGTGTTGTGTATGTGTGTGGGAGAGGGTGGGGGAGGGTACATAGTACACATGAAACAGGAAAAATCGAGGAAAGTCAGCAATCGGGAAAATTCTCGACCAACACGGTGCAAATTCTTTCTCAAGAAACGATCCCCTTCCACCAACTAACGAAAGCAACACGGAGACTCCCACATGGTTTGCGGCACAACGATCCCCGCTTGTCACCGCTGTCCAGTAGTCCGAAAATTCTCGTCGCTGTTTTCCCCCCCAAAAAACAGCCGGTTGGAAGGAGGGCGCGGGCGGTGGCGGGGAACGGGGTATAAGTGCACCCCTCCCTTTCTCGCCACGTCCGAATTAGACGCAAATCGCACCCACTCGCTGGGATTTCCAACACGCGACGTGCCCTCGATGGAATACAGTTTAGCTCGAAATGCTTAGAATCTGCTCGCAATGAGCTCACCGATCAAAAAAGATACACTTGACGACTGCGAGTCTTTACAGTGGGGCTCCATAGAAGTATGGACCATAGTTGACTTATCACTGAAGAAAGTGAAGGAAAGGCGGAGAAAGTCAGGAAAAAGAGGATCAAGCGCTTTTGATGGAGAACTGATATGAGATTAATAGAGACGCTCTGCGCTCGACCGAGCAATCACGACTACAGCGACGAAGAAGATCAGCCGTTTTTTATAACCAAACAAAAAAATTATTCTCGATGCACGGTAGTCGTAAGCTTTTAGACGTTTATACTTGTCGTAGGCGCGGTCTCGAGCCATTGGAAATTTTTGGAGCCCTCGCCGGGCAACTTCTAGTGGCACAGGTACAAACCATGTACCACTTGCCGGCTTAAAACACATGGTAAAGCGCTCAAACACATTAAGGGTGTATGAGACTAACAGCCCCCCAGCTGTCGATGTGTCGTGGTTTCCCCGCCCGAAACTGCACGGGGGTCCTAGTACGGGACCGTGGGAAAGGCTTATTCCTTGCTACACCGCCCAAAATTCACCGCGCGCAAGTTGCATTTCGCCGCGCGCAAGTTGCATTTTGGGCGGTGTAGCAAGGAATAAGCCTTTCCCACGGTCCCGTACTCGGACCCCCGTGCAGTTTCAGGCGGGGAAACCACGACACATCGACAGCTGGGGGGCTGTTAGTCCGCATACATCCCTCAATTGTGTTTGTATGTACCACTTGCCGGCTTAAGTTCTGCATAAAAATTAGTATATGACCATTCGATAGTCATTCTTTCCAAAATTAAGCTCGGTCAAATCAGAACAATCATCAAAATCAATTCCGTAATTAAAATTTTTCTGTAGCGCTTAGGTTTTTAGCCCTATCACCATGGGGGGTCTGTTGATAGTACAAATGTGCAGGAAACAAAGTGGAAAGGCAATCAATCAGAGCGTCAGATCTAACTAAGATAAGAACTGTTGCGCTTACTGGAAAAGACATTGCTAGTCTGCTTTCATGAACTGTAGAGGGGCTGAACGTATCTTCCAAGCAAAAAAAATTAGCCGTTTTTCAGTCGAAGCTTTTCAGATCCTGACAACTTATCGAGGAAAAACCCATCGGTCGCCGAGTGGTTACATTGGCTGGTGTGTAATATCCCGGCTAGCAATGTTCTCGAAGGCATCAACGGAGGTCAGTCCACTTGTCAGGGGTTTACTAATAGGAATGGCCGCCTACAAAGCAGCCGCTTGTGGCTCACAAACTGAAGCAAGTAAGCACTCATTGTTAACACTCAGCACTTCAGTACGTACAGTAGACAAGCCATTCAAAATTAAAATTATAATTTCAGTGCTACAGTATCTCAGGATAATAACAAATAAAATACAAATAAAATAAAATAAAATAAAATAAAATAAAATATTATCCTGAGAGATCCTGATTATTCTGAAAGCCTGAAACCAAGGTAACCGTTTCTTAGAAACCTTCTCCGAGGAAAGACCGATACTTACGCTCCTTACTTGTATTGCGATTGGGCTCCGGGACCTTTTCGACAGATTACGATGAGCGTAATGGTTATATCCTGCGACTTTTGGTTACCTGTAGTATTTCCTACTGCTCTTCGAAGGAAAACTGTGTCCACCGCTTTCTAATACGAATCATCGTTTTTTACTCGTGCAATACATATACTGTGATGTTCTTTCTTGTAGTCCCAACGACGTTCTTAGGAAAGACTTTCATTAGTTCCACCAGATCGTCGTCCCCGGAGGCCAAGTCCACCACCGCATGAGCACAATAAGGCCGTTCTGTCAATAGTCAGTGAATTACTTACTAAACTAACTCTTGACAGAGCGGCGTTAATTCCGCTTATCTGGCGGTAGACTAGGCCTCTGGGGATGAGGAACCGGTCAAAACGTTAGACCTATAGAGCTAGAAAGAGTAGAGTTCCTCCTAAAAGCCTCAGTGACACAAAAAAATTAAGAGGTTCTATGAAGAGAGAAAATGAGATCAACTAAGCTGTTCCCTGCTATTTGAAGCCTATTACTTGACTGAACTGCACGGCGGTATAGTAGTCATATTTCCGTTGAGATACTAGAGCCTTCAGGCCAAGGCAAAGGCTCCAGCAGGGCTGAAAATACAGTCATGGCTGGTTCATGGATCAACGCGTTTCACACACGGAGTACTACAGTTTCGATAAAAACCCAACGCTTGCCGCTCCCCAGAGGCTCAGAGACCTTGCCGGATTGGAATTACCTCTCTTCACTCCAGCATGAAAGAGAGATTCTTCGTCACCTTTCATTCCATAAGGGTACCCCTCAAGGGAACGTTTGCTGAACTGTCAAATGGTGGTGAAAACTCTTATGGAGCCTGCAAACTGATAAAGGTGAATCACACTGATCATCAGTGTTCAGAGATCTTCACAAGGTGGCTCATACATCTTCAGACTGGTGCCCCCACCAAGCCAAATTGCGCAAAACAAGTTCTTAAACATAAAAACTCCATTTATTTCCCTACTCTCATGGTAATGAACCGCGATCCCCTCTTGTTCACATCGGATTCCTGATGCTCATCACTCTT